TGGAGAGATTTGCTATGTGTAGCTTTAATCAGAAACTAAGGTGTTAGTGGGCTTAGCAGGCAAATATCCCAAGGCAGTATGTGCACATAGGCACATTCTCCTGACTCTTGGCTGCATCTGCTCTGTCTTCCGAGTGCTATTGGAGACAATGACTTGACTCTCTAAATACCTTTGGTATATTTGAAGCTTATTTCCAATTGGATAAGTCAGTTTCTTCCCACCATACGACGTACTTCGTCCTTTTCTTGAGGAAACCGACATCCCCTAGGATGTGCGCAGTGCTGAGAGTGATGATGAGGGTGGATGTGATGCTTCACACTCAATGGAAAGCGATCCCATTAGATTAGACTAGAGACTGGCGATCTGCAGGGAGTCGAGGGGATCCCTCAGAGCAAAAGGGCCCTCCCTATCAGCAGCTACTCTAACTAAAGTCCCCCGTTCAGCCAGAGCATTCAAGGTCTCTGAGACTGCTTTGGACAGCAAGAGCAGGTCCTAGGAAAACTGTTGAAACAGTGGCATGAGTCATTTTAAATTACCCATTTAACCTCTCAAAACTACAACCAGAAACAATAGCAATGCACAGGGCAGCTCCTGCTGTGCTCGCCCCTATCTCGTTCTTGCATGGCCCCAAGTGGGTAATCTTTGAAGCAGTGGTTGGGAAATTGAATGCCTGCCATGTGTTTTCAATCAGCTGTGCTCACTGCTTTCCAACGAGCACTCACACTTCTAAAGATGATCTCCATCTAGTTGATACCCTGGGCAAGGTCACCGTGAAATGAAAGGGATATTTTGTTTTGGAAATGGTAGAGAACCTGGTGTGTGAGCTGATTCTCAACTCACTTGCAAGGTCATGTCAAAACCTCAGACTCCAATTTCCCCTTAGGACAGAGATGGCTAATGTCCAGCTTCCTTGTCCATTTATTAGGGGCAGCACATGAAAGGTGAAGTGTGGTTTAAACCAATGTGTGAACGATCCTTTGCTGCCACATGTCCAGTGTAGGTAGAGTTGAGGAGAACTGGCATCATTACTGAATATCTAATAACGACAAGACATGTAGAGGTGACCACAAAGACATGCTACAGGCCACCACTCTGCAGACAGGGTTCTCTAGACAAGAGAAATGAACACATGTTCAAAAGTAACTCAGCTAAGATGATTCTATTTTTTCTCCTTCAAGAATACTTTTGCAGATATTCTTCAATGAACCACACACACACTACTTGATTGCAATTGGTCACCTACTTATGATATCATATTCTCCAATTTTTATAAACAGAGAACATTGCATAAACTGTTGAATTTTATGAAGAATTGGAAAATGAAACCAAACAGGTGACTATTATTTATATAGAAATCACCCTTCCTGACCTGCAGGATAAGCAGCAGTTCCACTGCCTGCCACTGAGTGCATAGCTGTCCTGTGAGAACTGTCATTTCAACAACAGACCAAAGCATCGGAGCTCTTCTGCTGTGGACCAGTTCCACTACCTCTGAAATACAGTTGAAGAGGAACAACACTGGACTCTCTTGTTTAGACACTTACCACTTTGTAAATGTGTCACAAAAATCAGAGGAAAATATAGATAAGGAACCCAAGTAGGGAAACTATCAAACTGTTGCCAACACATCATAATAAGGCTTTAAAAAGGGCGTGGTCCTACGAAGTCAATTATGAAAGCTCAGAAACAGAACCGACATTCAACATGAACTGCTTTGTGGTGCACAGGTAAGAGAGAGTGAGCTGATGGCAGGCTGTCAGACCACGTAAAGCACACAGATGGAGTGGTGCACAGCAGACGGAGAATTGGAGCAGTGATGATCACGGAGGACATCTCAGGCAGGCCTGGGGACAGCAGGCGAGATGGGGCGGAGTGAGACCTCTGGACTGACACACATGGCTCTCGGAAATGGTCCTGGAAATCATAAGCTGGGACTTCCTCTTAGAGGAAGGTGAAGCTCCGAGAAGCTGAAATCCTAGCTGCCTCTGATCCAGTGAGGTAGAGAGAGCATCTCTTCTCTGAAAGGAACCCGCCAAAACCTAGATTTTCACAGCAGCTCACAAACAAACATACACACAAGTAGATAAAATGTGTGTGGACGGTGACAGAATGATGGTGGAAAGAGGTTGACATTTTTAGATGTGTCCTGAATGCTGTCTTAAGCATTCTTTATATTGACATAATCTCCCTACCAAAGATACATCCTGTCATGTCAGTGAAGAATTGTCCCCAAACTGACAAAGGCAGGACACAAGGAACTGGCTGTGCTCCAGGGACACTCTGGCTCCACAACCATTTTTCAACCAGACGCTACAGTGCCTCTCTGACTCTGACTGGATCCTTATCTCATCCAGGCTCTGGTCATCATCAGCATCCTACCATGGAGTGTCTACCATGCTCGTCTTTGTTTGGATATATGGAGACAGAAGCCACAAGGTTTTGCTATTTTTCTGTTGGGGTTTTATTTTTGTTCTCTATTTGTCCTCCATAAAGCACATTTTTCAAATGACAAATTTCTTATAAAATTATATACTTATGACTATCTTGATTAAAATCAAAACAGAACATTCAGCTACTGTGGGTCTTATTCTATAGCTTGCTGTCTATAAGCCTGTGTTACAGTCTGAGCCTCTCCATGCCCCAGCATCTTTCCCTCCCCTGCCGTCCCAGACCTAACTACACACTTTATCACCCGCCTGAGTTCTGTGTGTTGTCTGTATGGTCCTTAGGTGTATATTCATTTGTATGGAGAAAAAGAGCAAACTATCCTCAGAGCTTAATATAAACAAAACAGTCTGTGTTCACACTCAGCCTGCCTAAACTCTGGTTTTCATGGGTAAATTCCCGGGTCTCTTTAAGACTCAGCTTTCTCAAATCAAACATGGGGTTACTAATGACACTTAGAGGGATGTGATGCAATAAATGATGCAATGCACGAAGAGGTCAATCGCTCTTGCCGTTTGCATTAAGACACACCAGGAAGGAAGGACACCTTCACCACTGGGAGCCATCAGGTTGAGGACACACAAAGAGGCCATGTGTTGACTTAAGAACAGCAAAGGAGAGGAGGAGGTGGAAGAACACTCCCATTGGACCCACGCAGCCTGCTCTGACGCAAGATTCCTGTTCAGTGAGCCTGCTAGAGAAGGTCTACCGTAATAGCTTCAGATCAAATGATATGGCTTCTCAGGGGATTTCATTATTTAGTTAAAAATACTGTATCTTAGGTAAACACTGAATCACAGGTTTGAGGAAACAGACTCACGGTTTCTCCTTTATACAGTATGTTCTCAAGATCTTAAGCAAATCCCCAAATTCTCGTTGATGAGAACTTTCCCTGACTCCCTATCTCCTGCGCAGTAAACTCTGAGCAGCCCTCTTCACTGGGGTCTCCTTCTGGTACTTGGGGTACTTATCCCCAGCTGAGCACTGACTCCCTTGGACTTTGGGCTTCTCTGCCTTTGCTCTCATGGCTGTGATAATCAGATGTTCCAAACACTACTGCCCTATGCCTCATCAATACCAGTCTACTGTAATACCCGGAATAGCTCCTGGGGCAGACCAGACTGGGGTGGGAAGAGAATAAGAAAAGACAAACTCAGGGAGACACATAGACAGGCTGGACTATGTGTGGACTGAGATCTCTGACAGAGAAGATTCAGGATCCTGGGAGCTCAGGGTGTTTATCATATACGTTGCACAGAGTGGGTGGGAGAGTCATTGTATACAGCTAAACGTGGAGGTGATTACATACAGATAGACAGGGAGGCAGGGCAATGGTGCACAGCAGATCGAGGGAACAGGTTTATTCTGGGTAGGAGCAGTCTTCAGGTTGTAAATATCCGGGGATGGAGAAAGCAGTTGGAGACATCTTCTGTATACACTATCAACATATGTACATGGACAGAAAGAGACTTTACTGTCCTTCTGCGCCTCCCCATGAACAGGAAGGCTTTGACATTTTCTAGCAGGTCTGAGGCACTGGAGTCCTTGACATGGCCAGCTCACGTCAACAGCACACGTTCACGCAGGACTTCACATGTCACATGGAACCCTCTCAGTGGCTGCTCTGATATTTTCTATCAAAGGCTGAGAGACTTTTTTTTCTCAAATGAATACTCGGGCTCCAGCAGCGATCCTGCCCGTGTCCATGCACACAGCTACGGACAACAGGCACGGAGGAGGTGGCCCGGTTTCACCAAACTTCATTCACAAACAGTGGAACTGAAGTGTCAGAGAATGGCCCGAGTCGCACACTGGTGCTCATCCTTTCAGTTTTCTTCCCAGTGATTTGAAAACATGAGGACGAATCTGGGCCAGGATGCAGGAAGGTGAGCAGGTGTGGCAGTGCTCACTTTGGTACCACTGCTCTCTGTGCAGACACGGGGGCTCTACAACTGCCCTTACTCCTATTACTATTAGCGGAAAGTTGTCGCGTAATCCATCAACCTCAGTGGACTGTTCCCAGGCGGACCTCTAGTGTATTCTACATGTGTAGCCCAGCTCGCACCACACAAGTCCGAACACAGCACATTTCCAGTTCTCAAATCCCTTCAGAGTCTCTTCCACAAAATAACCCCTTCACATTGTGAGGTTACTACTTTTATAACTAGGCTCTATGCAAACCTGAGCTGAAAAAAAGATGTAGATTGTGTGTGTGTGTGTGCATGCATGTGTGTGTGTGTGGGGTGTTTGTGTGTGTATATGTGTGTATATACACATGTATGTGCATATGTGTGTATGTATGTGTGTTGTGTCTGTGTCAGGGAGATATGGCTGTGCTATGTAGCAGCTGAATTTACAGAGCAGAAGTAAGCTCAGAGGGACGCTATAGTTGACATGAAATTTGAATGCCATCAGCAATCACAACCTCTCAGAAGAACATCTTACTTTCCACATGGTGATGCTCGAACAGAAACAGGGAGAGGTGGCTCCACAGAGACAGATTTATTAATACAGGCAAGAGCAGCCATCTGAGGACACTGCCCTTGCCTCCTTACCTGGGCCAAGGTCAGGGTGGCTTGTCTGCAGGTGCCGCACTGAACTCGGAGCTTTCCAGGCTGGACCTTGTGGCAGGGGCCCTTGCAGTAGACATAGAAGCTGTTGTAGGTAGGTTTACCTGCTGGAAGAAAGCAGAGAGAGTGTCCAGTCAGTGCTGGTCCAAAATGAGCCCAGACACCCTCTATCAAAACCTGTCAGAGGCAAGCCACACAACAAACTCCACGGGAACATGCAGTGAGGTTGGAAGGATGAACATTTCCAGGAGGATATAGAAACTTAGAAAATTTAGTTTTATGTTGAAAAGGATGGTGTCCTCTCCTCTTGCCAACAGCCCTGTGACCTACTTATCAGAGTATACAGCCTGCTGCCAAGAGCCTGGCCAGAGTGTTTGCACACTGGGAAATTAAACTCTTCTTTGCTACTGAAGTCTGGGAAGAGGACAGGAAATTCCAAGTCTGGGAAAGGCAGAGACTGTAGCCCTGAATTCTATTTCATGCTTCTGTACACAGCAGTGAAGACTCAAGATTGTTTCCTCTTAGAATTGTATCTGCACAGCCAAGTCAGCCTTTCCTCATGATATGCATGACTGGATCACAGCTGTCGGGTTTCTAGGGAACACTTGACAAAATTCAGTAATACATGAGCCCCAAACCCCATGGAGGTTGGTGGGTCCTGCAGCCTGTGCAGAGGTGCAGCCTGTGCAGTTGTGCAGCCTTGCAGAGGTGCAGCCTTGGCAGATGGTTGTGCAGTCTGTGCAGATGTGCAGTCTGTGCAGAGGTTTAGCATGTGCAGTTGTGCAGCCTGGGTAGAGGTGCAGCCTTGGCAGAACTGCAGCCTTTGCACACATGCAGCCTATGCAGATGGATTACAATCTGTGCAATTGTGCAGTCTGTGCAGAGGTGCAGCCTGTGCAGAAGGGCAGACTCTCTCTAGCTGGACAACTGCCATTCCAGCATAGTATTCCCAAGAGTAAAAGGTGAACATAAAATAAATCGATCTAATCAAATAATTTCTCTCAAGTGTCAATAAGCTCAAAGTGCCACTCCTTAAAATAAGGAAAGCTCATGGGTATCTGATGCTTCTGTGTCTGTGAAGAACTGACTAGAAGTTCTTAGGGTACAATGATTGCTTTCTAAATTACTAAGTTCCCCAACTTACTTGTTAAGTTTTGATCATTATCTAACTGTTGCTAGGGGGTAGGATACAAGATTGTCATGATGTAAATGTGTTATATTTTAATAATCATCAGAAGCATCTAGGAAGAATAAGTATTTCTTATGATCATGATTGAAAAGTTTTGGTCACTCAAATGTATATCATATAGTTGACTGGAAACACACAGAGATAATGAGAAAACACCAGAAGACCCTGATGTTTCTTTACTCAGCCTTATTCTGCATCTGACAAAACTCTGTGAGACAGATGACAAAATAAGGAGCACTCTGAAGCATCTGCAATACATGTTACAGTGGCCCCTCCTCAGTGATGAATACTTAGCTGTCAGTGTGAAAGGGAAGACAGACTAAAAAAAAAAAAACATGTTTGTATTGATGCTAAATGTCTATTTTGACACCTCTCTATGGCTTTAGTACCTTGTGGGCAAGATATACAAGCTATGAACATTGCATTGTTATCAGCAAATATAATTATTACATGAAATATATGTAGATCATAATTGAAACACAGCCACGAGTCAATGTTACAGTAATTATAACATAATAAGTGATTGACAACCAAAAGGTCACAGGAACTGTGACAGCTCTGACCTGTGTTAACCCTGTGAAGGATTTCCAGTTTCCTCACTGTTAAAACTTATCAGCAGTGGGGGAAAATCGAGTCTCACACTTTTAATTACTCTCCGTGAAACTTAAGCAATAAAAATAGGGAATGGGTGATAGAACAGCCAAAGTTTCCCAAAGGGGCAGTATGGGCAGAGGATATTACCAAGTGCTCAGTATTCGAGGAGCCTCTTCCCTTCCTGCATAGCAACAGCAATGTCTGTGGTGTTGTTTCAGCTAATGATGCATCAGGGGAAGACAGGAGCCCTTCCACCCCTGCATGCTTCAACCCTCGCCGAGTCCTTGAGAAGCCAGACACAAAATGAAGCATGTCATGTGGGTGCCCTGGAAGTCCACAGGATGACACGCAATCCATTACACCTTGCTACCCGGAGTCAGCCGATTAATAGCCAGTCTAAGGGAGATCAAGGTCAGGGCAGTCCTGGCTGAAGCACATTTCAAGCTGTTGGCTCCATTCCGGCAAACAGTTGAGGCCTGTTCAGGTGAATCATGAGAGCCCCTCACGGAGTGGCTTCCCTACCTTGCTGGCAGTGTGACACAATTTACAGTGGGCAGGTTGCTTTGTGTCCTGCTGTGGCCTGGACTATACTGGGCAGGAATGAGAGCAAATGCCCCATACCTTTGTCGGCAGGGTTCCCATTGTCCTGATTGAAGAGCCTGCAGCTCATACTCTCACACAGAGTCATCTCTCCAGAGACAACAGCAGGGTGATCCTGTGAGAGTCCTCAAAAGCTTCACCAGGGAGGCAGCACTGCTAGTCATTAAGGGTCATCTCCCATTCCCACTTCCTTCTGGACCTTCAAGATCTTTTGTTCTAATCCCTAGGTCTCTCCTTCATTACCCAACGTAATCAGCTCATGTTTACAGGATGTACTTCTTTTCATACAATAAGCTAAGACATACAGAAATATTTAAACTGCATATAAGTTAAATACCATTATTATAGCTTATCAATTGTAGTCATTTTGGTGGGAATCTTCATATATCTATACCACAGAGAGATAAACAGTCTTCACATACATACTTCTGACTGCAACCTTCATCATTAAGTTGAACATTTAAGGATGGCTGTCCTTAAATCCTCCAGCATCCTGACGGTAAGGGTTTTTAAAACACGAAACCACAGAAGTTTTAAAATAATTTGTCTATTTAACACCTCTAACCATAGACTGATAAGCTAAGGTTCACCATGTTTTACGTAACACGGCAGAACTCAGAAAGCTGTTGAGAACTTTGGGGTGTTGTTGTTACTGTGCAACTGGGGGTTGCTGTGGGACAATGGTCTGTACCCTGTCACTTGTATTTTAAATAAATGCTGATTGGCCAGTAGCCAGGCAGGAAGTAGAGGTGGAGTGGTGAGAATTCTGGGCAAAAAAAAGATTCAGTCCGCAGTCATCACCCAAACACAAAGGAAGCCAGACACAGAGCAAGCAACATGTGACTGCCTCCCTGAAAAAGGTACCAAGCCACATGGCTAACACAGACAAGAATTATGGGCTGATATAAGTTATAAGAATTAATACATAAGAAGCCCAAGTTACTGGGCCAATCAGTTTATAAATAATGTAGACCTTGGTGTATTTCTTTGATTGAAGGACTAGGAAGGACAGAAACTTCAGTCAACAGAATGGCATGCCAATGTAGGGCTGAACAAATACACTTAAAAGTCTGAGAGAGCTTGGAAAGTTATTCTAGATAGAAAAGAATAGAGTTAAGCATGACTTCTTGATAACAACATTTTCTTTGGTGGACTCTGCTTGCAAGAGGCAAGCACTCTTATTTAAGAGAGGCTTTCTGACTCAGCTTTAGCTGCAAAATCTTGCAGCACAAGGCCATCTAAAATCCATTAAAAACCTGAGAGAGCTTGAAAAGGAATTCTAGGCACAAAAATACAGAGTTTAACACACCTTCTTGTTGTTTGCTGAAAGCATGCAACAGCTCTTTTAAGAGAAGTTTTCCTGATTCAACAGTAGCCATGCTGTTTTGGAAATGCTGGCTTTCTGGGCAATGCTGCCAGCACAACCTCTGTTTTTTTTTTTTTTTTTTTTCCCCTAGGAGACCGAGCATTGAAATGGGGTTTGTTAGCAATGTACTACACCTTGTTTAATGGTAACATAGAGCTGCTGTGTGCCTAAAACTGGGGCAATGCTCATGGCTTGCAGAGGTGGTGATCGGACTTCAACCACGTTGGATGGTGCAGAGCAAGCAGAAAGTACTGTATATACCCTAGTAATGCTGCAGCTTAAGATTTTAAGAAGCACTTAGCAGTTTAAGAAGCACTCTTGGGCAGAAAACAATTACAGATACATAATAGGACAGATTCAGATATAAAAGAACTCTAAATGAGTCAGTGTTGGATAAATGTATGTAGGTTTGGGAGAGAGAAGAAAAGAGTATAGAGATTTAGAAAAGAAGGTAAAGTCTTTAAAGAGACAGAGAACAGGCAGTCATAGATTAAAAGGAGTAAAGAAAAATAAGTCACACAAAGATGGAATATGCAAAGGGAGGCTGGATTATGTGTATACTATTGTGTTTTCTTTGCATTTTTTGATGGCAGAGAGACATTTGATTATGGGTACTGCTAAGCTAAGCCAACATATATATTTTAAAGGTATCTTGATTTCAAAATATGGATCTAAGAATATGTTGCTTTGGAAAAGAAGTTCTGATTTTGTTTCCACAGAGGATGAGAATCTGTGGATTCATTACAGACTAATGGGTTTGATGGACCAAGATCCCCTGAAAGATCACCTTGAACACCTTCAAAAAATTACTTCACCCAAAATAATCATCAGGAAGTCTAGAGAACTATGCCCAAATTCTAAAATATTGTTTGCACATATTTATTTATATTTAAAAGGGGATATGCCATAGAGATTTGCATGGGTATGGATCTTGGTTTATTGATACAAACTTAAGATCAATTTTGTCATACTGTGTATATGTATTTCTGCTCTTAATTAAGGTATTGTGTTTGTGCAGCTCATTTAAAAATGCAATGTATAATAAAGCAATATAGATTAACAGATAATCATCTAAAATAGACTAGCTTGTACTCATGTTAGTTCGATTTGCCAGATGTACAGAGATGTATTTCAGATGGATAGGCAGTCTTCAAACCTCTCAAAGACTACAGATGTTTTAACAACTTGAGACTTTTCATGATAGTGAGACACATCTGCTCCTGGTAGCACCAATCTATTTCAAAAGGAAGATGGCATCAAAGAGGCTCCTTATGGAGTTGGTTAGCCATTTGGATAAGAAACTGCTCTTGCCTGGACTGGTTGATGAACTGGACATGTAGGACCCACAGAGAAAT